TATGATATTGAAATATAAACAGTTTACTTTGTAAAGGCTTATAATATTAAACGCGAAAGTTTTTGAGTATTAAAGTTATTGAGGATAGATGGATGGATGTTTGTTACTCTTTCACCCAAAACACGTAAACCAAAGTTGCTTATACATAAGAATCATATCTTATACTAGCTGTCCCGGCAAGTTGTTTTGCCTTATAATAAAAAAATAAAATTTAGGGGTGGACTACCCCTAACATTTAGGGGGATGAAAAATAGATGTTGGCCGATTCTCAGACTTACTCAATACGCTCACAAAGTTTCATGAGAATCGGTCAAGCCGTTTCGGAGAAGTATGGGAACGAAAACTGTGACACGAGAATTTTATATATAAGATATAAAATTCTCGTGGCACAATGTTAGTTACCATACTAGCTATATATAATATATTAAATGTTTACTCTGTGTTATTAGCCTAGTTCTATGTATGTATGTATATTATTATTATATGCAAGGATAGACAAGATATAGAATGAATACATCAGAGGAAGTATGAAAGTGGCACCGATGTCGGAGAGGTTAAAGAGTAATCGTCCATCTTGGTATGGACATGTAATGCGTAGGAATGAAGATCATATCCTATGGGCGGTGTTACATATGAATGTGGATGGTTATAAGAGTAGAGGAAGAACGAAAAAGAGATGGATGGACTGTGTGAAAGATGATATGGTGAGAAAGGGAGTAAATAACGAGATGACGACGAGCTGGGATGAATGGAAGAGAAAAACATATTACGCCGACCCCAAATAAATGGGATAAGGAAGAATCAGATGATGTTACGAAGGTATCCGTAGAATACCAGCGTCGTGGCACCCCGTCACGACACATACTGAGCGGAGACCTATTTGGTACTATCTAATTGTTATAAACCAGTAATAATTTAAAATTTAAAAAATATTTTTATTATTGTTATGTACCAAATAATCAATTTCTTTCTTTTCTTCTTTCTTTCTTTAGGCTATAAATTTACGTGGTTTAAAACCATAGGCACAGCTAGTTAATACTATTTACGAGGTTGCGAGCAATTGGTCATTAGAACTATTTGCTTACAAACACATTTTCCCCAATTGTAAGTACTAGGTTCTTTCTGTCTACTCCATAATATAAACATGTAAATAAATATCAACATTACTTTGCGTGGGTGCGATATAATTGCTGTAATACCAGGGGAGCAAAACCTAGCAGGAGGTTACATTATATGATTTGAATCACACACACATTAGTAAGCGCTCATTGGTTTGTGTGTATTTGCATAAAATACTAGGAGAGTAAAAACGAGCAGGAGGTAACATTGTATAGACGTTTTAAGAATACATAGATGTAAATAAATGTAAACGGGATCGATATAAGGTGTGTTTGCTGTAAAATACTAGGAAAGCAAAATCATACGGGAGGTAATGTCATATGGCTTGAGTTATGTGCAAGTTATAAAATGAAATGTTTCATATAAAAGTTGGAGTATGAAACCGTAGAGAATAAAGTCAAACTAGGGCGGTCCTGCCGTGGTGGTATGTAATATAGTACAGAAAGTGTCATGCTTTTTGTACAGACATACACCGTCATTAATGTAATGAGGAATGTGAATATATTATAGGTGTATCGTAGTGTAAATAGGTCGCGGAATATTATATTTGTCTCGTTATATAATAGAATATTCCAGATTATCATCTATGTTTATTAATTGTTAATCGACAAATTGCAATTTGTCGATCGATATCGAATGTGGCATTACAAGATTACGAGTAGAAATTGTGTGAATCGCAAGCGACACCACTTACTTATCGTTGAGGTGTCAGTTTTTACCTTATTACCTTGTACTTGTATCTTTGTTAAGTACAAATCGTTTATTACGATCTAGCGATAATTGTACATGTCATAGTAAAATATTAGTACGTGTTTAATTAATTTCTCTTCCATCTTGTAGCAGTTATTTACGTCTGTTTACTGTCCGCTGCTCACAGTTATATTAAAAATAATAAAATACCAACTTATTAGAAAGTTTTCTACATTAATATTATGACTTACAAAGAAATAATTTCTTGGAGTTTCCTTTATATAAGTTCACAGTATTTATTCCTGTCACTGAACAAAGAAACTACAGATTTAATTAATGTAGTTATTATATACAAGCGATCCATTCTGGATTTGCACGGGTTTAAGAATTATTGAATGAAGCGTATTACTCTGGCGTTAGTTGTTTAGACAATAATACACTGTATTGGAACTAGATTATGCACTTCTTGTTAACTGGAGTAGCAAACCGAACTGGATGGTAGGGGCGGTGATAAAAAAAAATACTTCAAACAGCCGAAAGAATCATACATCAAAGTATCATATCTGATTTTTAAATTAGAATTTGTAGCTAGTCTGTGACTGTGTATGATACACATAAACCTTCCGGAAAAAAGTTCTTAATTAACAGTGAAACTGTGTCAAAGTAAAAACGAGTTTGCTTTATACTATTTTATTAGAGGGAAATATATATTACTAAAAAGTTTCACTTGTTAAATTCACTTTTCATGTTGTTTTATTTACACATTTCTATACTTTAGTTGCATTACGCCAGTAATAAATATTACAGCAGAAAACCTCGAGAAATCTTTGAATCGTGTAGAAAACGCAATAATATCCATTAAGTACTTTCAATGGCTCAAAGGCAAACAGCTACTTGAATGCAGTCGCTACGACTTCACTTTACTAGCTTTAAACGTATAATAACTTAACTTATTAATACTTATTTGTAACTAAACCCGATCACGATATAACTTAGTGCGATAATAATTATTAATTGAACTTCAGAATGAAATGATTCGGTATAGCACAACTATTCTTATAAAATCACATTACCGCTTTATTCTTCGACTACTAGCTTTCCATTTTGAATCGATTCATATTTTTTTGAAATTAGAAGTCTTACAATTGTTCACCTCATATCTGCAAAGTCTAAAACAATGTTATTGACAAAATTGATTAGAAGAACATTTTTGGGATCACATTATTCCGACTACAGACACAATAAATTAGTTTTTTTTTTTCGGACTACTCTAATGATATTAGCCGCAGATGGCCTTAACACTTTACCAGACGAAAGCGGGTGTGTGCTGATGGCATTCCAGACCCGTGGAAGGAGTTATAGAGCGGCTGAAGGTCAACTCCCGCCTGACGGATACGACTTTAGTCGGGGGGACTGCTAGACGTTCGAATCTCTTCTAATTTCGATACCCGTTTGGATTGATCGGGGTATCGATCGGCAGGGCGATAAATCAGGTGTTCTGCAAGGAACAGTACTAGGTCCAATATTGTTACTAATTTATATTAACGATATTACTGTCTGTTAATTAACTGGCAGTGTTTATAGTGTTTTATTAGCGGATGACATTTTTATGATTATGACATGTAATAAAAATATCAACAAAAATATGAATTGGATATTAATAATGCGGTAAAATTACATAACGGTACGGTAAAATTTACATTATCAATGCATTCAGCATTGATAATGTAAATTTTAATTTATTAAAAACAAAGGATATAACAGTAAATATATCATTTATACATATGAATCGAACACATATATATTAGATATAATTGTCGATTTATTAGTTATTCAATCGAGTGTGGCATAATATTATTTTATAAACTTTGAATATTGAATTTTAACTATTGTGTTGTTGTGTAAGTACAATTACAGTCTACGGCATTGAATTTAACTGACCACAAATAAATTTTGCATTCATATTAAATTAAATAGGAGATGATTATCAGTAGCTACTTATATCGGCTGATTTCTCTGCCCACTTTAATATTTGCCATAGTCTGTTAAACATTAACATGTTTCAGAAGAATTTAAATTATGTTATTAATATCTAATTAAAATTCCACTGTACAAGTTTTATGGCTTTAAGACTATAAGATATTTATTTTTCAATTATTTGTTATTTCACAGCTCCTTTATTGGACAATGCTATGAATATTCAGATGCTATTGTTTTTTTATTGTATGATCTGTAGTGATTTATAGCGCAACTTACGGGTACTAATCGTTGATAATAGTCATAGTTATTATTCGTTTCCCTTGCGTAGGCTGAAATTAAGATTATGATGAGTTTGTCTGACATAAACTTGTTTATTACGTGATCTGTATATGGCGCAGCCTTGAGTTCCTTCGTTACCAATATGGCGACTAATTAAATGTTTGAATTTTCCAGCGTTATTTCTAGATTGGCGTGGGTGCAAAGGTGCGCAATATAATCTGTATATGATTAATTGTTTTATACTACAAAGAATCGCCATCCAACGTTGCCGCTTTGTAACATCTTCTACATGTCATGTTTCATAAGCGAAAGTTTATTTGCACGCCAGTTTTGTATACACACACACTTTAATTAGTCACATTTCTTTAGCATTACATTATTTTCTATCGTCTCATTAAACGTTAACATTAATTAGACGATAGAAAATAATGCGATTGTACAGATAAAGTATCTGTTAATTTTATCACATCAAAATTATATTTTAGCCTAAATCATTATAAAATGCTAAATTGCATGCGCAAGAGAAAGTCGAGTGAGTACCATGTTCAGGACTACGTATATGACAATTGCGACGTAACATTGTAATTGGACGGTCGTGAGTGATGAAGGCAACGTCTTTTTGTATCGTACGATAGTAACGACACAAAGAGATATCTGCTCGTACGCAGCTTGTGAACGATATCTGCGCATGTTGAACGCGTTGACCGCGCGCGGGCTTCCCCTTTCACTTGTATTCGCGTTCAACGGATCGAGCGGAACGCGATTACGCCTTTCTCCTTGTTTTCTTCTCTGTCTAACGCGGGGCGATGGTCGTGAAACGTGGTGGGCCATCGCGGGCCGCTCGCCGCTCGTGATACCAGTGCCGCAGTTCCCTCCAACAAATCCGCACGGTACCGAGACCGCCGCTCTCGGATGCCCTATCGCGATCTAACATGAAGTCCAAACCGGCACACTACGCGGAGCCGCCGTTCAGGCCGTGGCCGCCGTTGGCCCGCCAACCGCAACCCAACTTCTACTTTCGTCCTCCAGATCCCATGGAGTTGAGGAATTTTAAAACTGCATCCTCGAAGGGCTCTTTATATTCAGACTTTTCGGCAATGAGTGCTTACAGTAATAAGTCTCGGGATTACTATTTCTTGTCACCGAGCTATCGGTCGGCGGGTGCGCCGACACCCAGCCATGCGGACTTATACTTGAGTAGAGAAAGACCTCGACACCTGAGGCATCCTAACCCGGCGACTCCCTCGGAATGTCCCTGCAGTCGGTCGCGCTCTCTAGAAGACGTGCGTACCGACGTCGTCACCGAGTGGGAAGATGACGACGAGAACGGCAATCGGATCGTCGCACCCGCTACAAAATTTAACCGGACAGCGTACAAAACAAACACAGTGTTTCAAAAGCAGGGGTATCTCACACGTCACTCGATGGAAAATCTAGTCGATAGACCTCCACAAGTGTTACCACCAAAACGTATCTCCGCCTTTCAGGTATCGTATTAGCTTACTACATTATTGCAAGTACAAGTACTTATTTATCATAAGAATGTGCAGTTGCATATCTAATAAGGGTTTTATTACTAACGAACTTGGTACGTTAAAGAATGATTACGAATGTATTTATGCGCACTTTCTAGGTTTTTATAATGGTTATCTGCTTTGCGCTGAGCGTAGTGAATAATTTGTGCATTTGCGGTGCTACAGCGAGTATATAATATGGTATGTAGCATATAATAATATAGAATTGGCATGCGGTGTGGATAACTCGTGTGTAATGTGTTAGTATGGGAATGTGGATGTGCGGGTACTGCGTCAGAGCCCGTTCAGCTCCAGTGAACCGCGACGCACCGTCCTGTACGCTAACGGATGTTCAATACTAGTACTTTGTTCACATGCACTGTAATTCGTATTCGCCATTATTATCTGATATTTATGTTTCATACATAAAAGCGAATTTAGGTTTCCAGGTAATTCGGACAGTTTTTGTTTCGTTACTCGACATACTCGTGCTCTTTTGCAATGTGAGTGAGAATTCCATTGTGAAAATTTTTATTAAGTATTGTTTCCAAGGGTTTCGAAACGTTTGTGATTATGTAAATGTGTAACAATAATGTTATAACATTCATACTCATACTTTGGTTAACTTGAATAGTTTCGAAAGTTCCCTAACATTCAAAGATATTAAACGCAATGAATAGGCTCGTGCCTATACATTATACAATCTGTTTGATTGTTCTAACGTCTTCTCAAAAAATAACTGTATACTATCTAATTAATCGAGAGTAGAATAAATCATATAAAACTGTTCATCAGGTTCTAATTGATGCACCATATGTGTAATAAATATTTTATTCTCTAATTCTCTATTATCTAATAGACTAGTAATGCTAAAACTCATATTTTTGTCTTAGTTCTATTTACCGGTAGGACCGACAAAACAACAATATAGTAGCTATACATGAAATGAAATTCAAATGAAGAAGAATGAATTAAATGAAATTTATTGTTTAAATGTGGTTTTACAGTGATGGTTTAACATAATGAACATATATTAGTTCAACACAGTAATTTCTGACATACAATACACAACATGTGCCATTTATCACTTATATATATACATACTTACATTTACAAATTAAAATTTACATGTCCTAATATATTTATTCCCAAAATATTAGTCACTAGCTTTTGCCTGCGGCTTCGCTCTTAATCGCGTTAATTTATCCCCTTAGGGGTGGAATTTATCAAAATCCTTTCTTAGTGGATGCCTACGTCATAACATCTACCTGCATGCCAAATTTCAGCTCGATCCGTCCAGTGGTTTGGGCTGTGCGTTGATAGATCACTATGTCAGTCACTTTTGAGTTATATATATATATATAGATGTATAGTAGAATATCACACATTTTAATATTAGTATCTTTTCATTTTAAAGCGATGATTACTGTTCATATATTTTCCTATGCCTATATAGTTGCAGGTTTTGGCTTTTTAGTGAGTGAGTCGTCCTCTCATTCACATATTTCAATTTTGTAATATTGTACAAATTTGCACTCTGCTGTCATGTTGTTTTCAGGCGTTCCCTGAATGAGCCACTCTTTATCGTGTCTTGTGTTTATGTTTATGGTCAGGGAATACCAAGAGATCCGCCTAGTGGTACTCTGAGTATGGTTTACTGGTGGGATATGATTACTTGGTATAAAAAATTAGAACTCATTATAATGTTCCTAGACTATATAAGATTTAATATATTAAGTTTATGAAGGCACTACACGGGATAGTTAGAAATAAGGCTATAAATATACCAAAAGCTTAAACTGAAGTATACGAGTATTAATGCATACCTACGTCGGTTGCTGATCAGTTAATACGAAGTCAAATTTACTGATTGCATACAAATTATCATAATTGCGTATTTATGCTCACTTCGTGGATTATCAGAACATCATACAATTTATCCAATCAAGTTATTAAAGTAATGAAGTTAATTTTGTAACATATATCTTGTATTGTATTAGAGAAATATATAGTGAGATCAGTGTTTGATTGCTTTACGATTGAAGTTTAAACTATACTAATTATATAATCTGAGAGAGCGTGTTTTATGAGGTAAATAAACTTGGAACCACTGCATCTATCTTTTTTTTCTTTTGAGGGGTTTCAGTTATTGTCAGGTTGTTAACATTTGTAGCTCTGCGACTTACATAGATCTATTGTGCTCCCCCTTTTTCAAAGACCGCTACCTAGTCCCATCAGGGACAAAGATATTATTAGCAACGATGGTTTATATCTCCTCTAGATAGAGTGTATACTTTTTCAAGGCGATATTACGTTTATGCATGCAGTGGGGTAGAAACATATAGGATTTGTAGTGGAGTTTCTTCTTCAGCTTGGTAAAATCAGACCTGAAATTTGTTGAGCTGAGGCCTAAGATTGCTATGTGTTTATTCCATTTGCAGTATCCAGCAAGGGCCCTAGTCTTGCGTATATACTCAATATATAAGTTTTTACTCAATAGCAATAGTATATTAGAGTATTAGTTTGAGTAGCTCCTTATTAGGGCCTTTGAATGTATTTTTTCGGCCAGAGATTCAGTGCTTCCTGTTAGATTTTACTTTGAGATCCCAGTTTAGGCAACGGGCCCGGGCGGTTTTTTGCGCCTAACTTTGCCAGTTGGTCGACATTTTCATTGTCTTCAATGTTTGATTGCCCGAGGATGCATCTAAGTATAATATTATTTCTGCTTCCTACTTCATTCAGATACAGTTTCTAATGAGTTTAGATTCAGATTTCGTACGCGTGAAGCGTTAGAAGCTTGACTGTCCTAATAAATGTATATGTGCTGATTGATATAGTTAAGGCTTAGAATTACTTTAAAAGCAACTTAAGGCATAAGTTTCTGTCTGAAAGATTGAGGCGTATTCCTATGCTTCTATAGTTGTATGTTTTGGATTTTTACATCGTGTATTTTTATCCGTCTGGTAACTGTACTAGTTCTGTCCACTAGACTGATTTAATCTTATTGTGTTTTTATATTTGAGCCTAAATAAGTTAGTGCTGGTTGGTAATTTGTATTCACACGTTTCGACTTGTAAAATGTGAACTTACAAGGATTGTTTAAAAGAGCAACACACAAGTTTCTTGCTTATTCTTCTTGTGATGAGACAGCTTTCCGAATAAGCGGTAGATTTAAAAAAATGTTGACTATTCAAAAGTGCTTAAATTAAGTTTATTTGAATAAATGATTTTCTATTCTATTCTATTCTTGATCTGAGTTGGTCGGTGTATGGCTATTTTACTATTCGTCTCTTTTAGATATTTCAATTTTGTAATATTGTACAAATTTGTTTTCTGATGCTATGTTGTCTTCAGGCATTGCCATTATCGAGTCTTGTGTTGTCTTTACGGTCAGGAAATGCCACATCGTCGTTTGGGAACTGATTCTGAACTAACGGTTTACTAGTGGGATGAGATGAGTATGAGTTTAGTTATAGTTCATTCACTACGAATTGATAATCTCGATACTTATCAGTTGGGACCTCGTGAAGGTGGACCTGTTAATATACATTACTAGCTTAGCTACTCGTCCCGTCTTTGCACAGGGGTACATGTATTATATATATAAACCTTCCTCTTGAATCACTGTATGTATTAAAAATGAACCGCTTCAAAATCCGTTGCGAAGTATTAAAGATTTAAGCATACATATGGACAGACAGCAACAGCGACTTTGTTTTATACTGTATAGTGACTAGCAACGGGGATATTTACTTCCATTACTCCCTCCTGATACCCTCCCCCCACACCAGAACCCTTTTTGAATAAAACTATGTTCTGTGGTCCATGAAGTAAGATTACATGGGAGTCAGTAAACAAGAGATAGAAAGAGAGAATGGTTGCACGAATATACACAAGTACCGACTTAAATACCTGTTTCACAAGAACCAACCGCTGAGGTAAACAAAATGGAATTAAGAAGCGGTAAAGCACACTTTCTATTACAACTTGCGAGATTGAAGTCGGTGCACTAAAACGAAACGAAAAGCTACGCTATTTACCTGATTTCGAGCGTTTCCAACGAGATTTCAATGTTTCTCGGAATGAATCCGTTTTGTTTACTGACATTACAATGTTATATTACGTGTTTTAAAATTGAATATATTATTCAACTAAACCAACCAACCAACCAACGTCTTATATGAAATTTTTATTTACTTCGAGAATACGTACTTTTTGTAGAAGTGGTTCAGTTTTAGAAGATTTCGTTTTTTATTTAGATATTTATTAAATAAACCAGATTTTAATATATAGAAATCATTATATTAATAGGTATATACGTATATTCTATATTTACAATAGTTTAATAGTGATCTGTTCACAGGCTAAGACTACTCATCGTAGATCGGGTTCATTCATTCATAATTTAAGAGCTGTACTTGTCGGTGGAGCTCCCGCCATGTTCCACGATCTTCTATCAGTCCTTTTAGCTGTTGATACGACACGACTCCAACTTTTTCTTTAACTTGCTTGATATAGCTGTGTCTTGGTCTTCCGCTTCCTCTCTTTCCATCTATTTTTCCTTCAATAATGTTGTTAATTAGTTCGTCGTGTCGTATCATTTCGCCAACATTTTTCCCCGCCTGTTCTCAATAATATCTACAATCTGTCTGTTTTCTTTAACCCTTTCAAGCACTTCTTCATTCCTTAATTTATCTTTCCAGCTAATTCTTTCCATCCTTCTCCAACACCACATTTCAAAGGCTTCCAGTTTGTCTCTTTCCTTTTGTGTCAATGTTCACGTCTCACAGGCATACAAGGCTGTATTCCAGATGTAGGTCTTGATAAGTCGTTTCCGAGAGGACTATTGAGAGATCTTTTGAGTGATATATTAGCTCTCAAAAGATGTTTTTTATCATTAAACGCTCTGGAACCCTCTGAAGATACTGAAGAAGGTCTAACTAAAATAATGCACTCTTGAATAAATTGTGAGG